GAAAGAGGCCGTGACAGCTTTGTTCCAGACTGTCTTTTCGAAGACGTCTGTGAGAGAGGCTTCCCGCTGGACTGACCACAAGAAATGACAGAGCATCCTTCTCTGGAGCCAAGGCCAGGCAGGAGTGCCAGCAGCATTCTTGTGACACAAGGTGCCTGTGGGCCTTGCCCCATGTGGCCGTTCTGCATCGCTCCTGTGTGACTTGGGAAAAGGGAACTAGGAGAGAGCATGACACCCAAGCGGCCTATGTGCCAAGAGCATTCAAGTCTGTCTCTGACCCAGGGCCCCCAAGTCCTTTGCAGGCATCTCTGAGACTGTGGCCAGCTCACTCGTCAGCCTGCAAGGATGGGAAATCCAAACTCCTCACAGCTTGACAGCTTGACAAGTGGATCAAAGTCAAAGAATAGAATGTTTTCTAGTTTGGCACCGCTCAGGGCCCGGGTCTTAAGCTAACATCCACCACCATACCCCCTTCCGAAGGGATAGCTCAGAGTGGGGAGCTCTCAAGAAAACACAGAAGCCACTTCTGCTCTGCCAAGGCACAGGCCACGTCCCCTCCAGATCTCAGCATAAATAATGCAAAGTCATGTAAAAGTTCCTCTCCACTCTGCACAGGCAGAAAAACTGGGCAAAGCCTGTGTGGCTGACTCATTCCCACCCCGCAGCAGGTCGGCACAGGCCACCACTAGGGAACAGTGCCGGATTTTAGCTATATTTTTAGGCATCGGAGGCCTCAGAGTGCCTCATACATCTATTAGTAGGATTAAGTTAGTCTACTGATGAATCAATATTAAATGACAATGTTCTAAATACCTCCTAAGCTTTTCTTTCTTATATAGTGAATTCTTTAAAAGGATTTAGAATTGAAATTGTCTTTCATCTGGATTTACATGTTTGCATTTGTTTTAGATTCAGCACATAATAAAAAGAACTCCTTGTCAGGTTTATATGAATTATCTCGCTATAATTAAAGGCCAATTTTTCCTTGTTTCTGTTTCACCAACTTCTTAATCCTACAGAATTTAAAAGTAGACACTACAGACCGTCTCACTTTTAATTTCATGAAGCAAATGTACACTCTCATCTTGTCAGAATGCCTTCACTTGCTGCTTCTGGTTTACCTCCTCTACAAAATCTTTATTCTGGTAACTTACTACTATTTATATCTCTGGCATTTGAGCCATGCATATATTTCAAAGAGTAAAAAGAAAAAAAAAAAAAGAATTTAGAACACAAGTTGTGCCTCTTTACAAAAAGCTGAAGGGTGGCCAGACCTGAGCAACAGTCACATTACCGCTTTTCTCCCGAAGGGTAGCTGGGCTCTTTCTGCCTGAAACAAGTGATACGCAGATATCTTTGCTGTAGAACTAATATTCATAATAAGAGCCTTCAATATAAGACAATGTCCAGGTCTGAGACTCGTCATTGCAAGAAACCTGAGTGACATCTTTCTCCACACTCTCAACAAGGAGGATCTTTCACAGCCTTCATCTAAAACTACCACGTTCTTTCTGCTCAAGCTGATGTCAAGGTGAACTAGGGATTTTCAATGACTCTGTCCTTAGGTATTGCCATCCTGGGGTCTATACGGGTCACAAACAGATCACCTCTGAGAATCTCTGAACTGAGGCAGGAGGAATCTGTAAAGGGGACTGTCCTGAAGATTTCAAATGTCCTGGCCCATCTCTGCACCACGAGGAGCTGTGTGACAGTGGGACAGCCGGGAGTGGTGCAGCCATCACATGGAGAGCCATTTGGCAGCTCTCAGGCCCTACAAGAGGCTTATCTCTCTCCTGCAAAACTTTTAAGAGATAGTTGTAAACTTTTAAGAAATTGGAATGTTTGATGTAAAGTTTGCATTTCTGATATTCTGGAAATAGGAAGCTGGGCATTTTGTCTCCTACATTTTCTCATAGTGACAAACAAGGGTTGTAAGGAGCAGCTGCCACTCACAGCCCCCAACACCACCAACCCCCCAGCCACAAGGCCGTCAGCTTTCTCATAGGCCCAACCCCTTACATGCATGAAGGCCAGGGACTTGGGGTCACAACTGTGCCTTCAGAATTGGAATGGAGTAAAACTAAAAGAACATTGTTCTGAACGAACGAATGCCACACTCCATCTAAGTAAGATAACTAGTAATAAAGACTCTTTCATGTACAAAACCCCTCCTGATTGTGGTGATCATAATATCCTATTTCATGATGGCAGAAAACTTTCCTGAACTCGTCCCATTTCTCATCCCAGCACTTGTCAAGTGAGTCACGGGCACGAACTTACAGTCACCCCATCTGCCCAGCTCCATCCGCTATGTAGCCAAGTGCGGGTCAACCGTCAGGGGGGATTCTTCTGAGGGAAAGTCATGAGCCAAATGCTGTGTTTGAAGTGTTAAGTGTCCCTTGTCGTCCACTGAAATAGTGTCAGTTTTCTATTTGTTAACAAAATGTTCTTGATGAACGTAGGAAATCAAGAGTGACAAGAAAGAAGCAGTAAATATTCTGGGAGCTTTTCCCTAGAATATCAGTTGTGAGAGAGCAAGGGGAGGGGACCTGTGGCCCAGGTGTAGGCAGGGACAGGTGCGCTGTGTGTAAAGAAGCTGTCAACGGCAATAAAACCGAGTATAGCTTGGTCTGCTTTTCATTATGACCAGCAGTGGCAATGGCAGTCTTCCTCCCTTCCCCCTTCTGGAAACATCTGTGTGTGTCCATGGCTCATGGCAGAGGGCCTGGAAAGTATGTCCTGAAGAAGGCTGCAGGAGTTGGAAGTTGTAGGCTCCACAGAGCCTACGAATGCCTTTTGAACACTGGGAGATGAGCTCACATGAAGAAGTTCTGCTCACTGCTGCTCCAGGAGCACAATTAATGCCAGTGAGTGGCCACCATGTGTGGGCAGCCTTGGAACATGTCAGCGACTTGACTGTGCAATGATGGCATGAGGGGTTGGAGCTCCCACTCCCGTGAACCCCCATGGGTCACCCACTGAGGATGGACAGATAGCATGTGGGCCCACCCGTCTCCATGCAGAGGCCCCAGGGTTGGTGCTGCTGTGACCTAGGTTCACCAGCCACTCACCTGACGATTCTAAAGTCTATTTCCTCTCAGCATCTATTTTTCCTAAATCTCTTAATTTTAACTGAAGGGAACAGACCTGACAGTTGTTTTGTCTTGAGGGCCTGGCTAGCAGGGCCTGTGTCTCATCTATCCTCATAGCTGGCTAATGGCCAGTGCATGGCTTTGCACAGGACAGACGCACAGTCCACCTTTGCTGTGGAGCTGAGCTTTTTCACTTGCCTCTCTCTGGTCAGAACTCCACCAGACCATTTGTAAGATGTGGCCTCAGGACCATGTCTGCATTACAAAAATCACAGATATTTAAGACTGGAGGAATCCTGGGGTCAGAGACCTCATTTTTCAGCTGAGGAAATACAGGCTCCAGAGGGGATCAGAGAGGGCCCAGGATGCCTGTGTTAGCAATGGTCTGAAGCCGAGCTGTCCAGCATGGGAGCCACTGGCTGCTGGGAGCACCTGAGATGTGGTAGGTCCAAACCGTTTCGTGTTATGAGTGTAAATCAAATGCTGGGTTCTAGGATTTAGTGTGCAAAAAAATGCAAAACTTCTCAGCGACATTTTATATTGATCACAAATTGAAATGATAATGATTTGGATATATTTGGATAAAGTACATTAAAATTAATCTCACTTTTTTTTCCTTTTTTAATGTGGCAACAAGAATATTAAAAATTACCTATGTGGTCCACATACCATTTCTTCTGGGCAGCGCTGGTCTAGAACTAAACCCACATCCATAACTTCTGGTTTCAAGTCCCTCTGTAGGACACTAAACTTACTTAGCACAGTCTTACTTTGATTTTAATTTTTGTCTTCAGAATGAAAAGAGAAAAAGCAAGCTGAAGGACAAAAGGTTTTTGTTACTGTTATAATTTGGGTGTTACCACAGAACCTTTCTGAATTAATAGACTTCTGAATGTGCATAGCTGGAGTGCAAGTGGTCCCAGTATGTGTTATTTTTTTTTTTTTGATGTGGAGAAAATAAAATGAGCAAATTCACTGTATTCACAATAGGTCTGTCTTCAAGAAATCAAAAGTCTAATTTTCCTGTTTGATTTCTGATGTTTCCACCATTCTTAACTGTATTAGAATCATCTGGGAGGTGACTAAGTTTTTTTTTTAAGATTTTATTTATTTATTAATGAGAGACACACACAGAGAGAGAGAGAGAGAGAGAGAGAGAAAGAGAGAGAGGGGGGATCCCTGGGTGGCGCAGCAGTTTGGCGCCTGCCTTTGGCTCAGGGCGCGATCCTGGAGACCCGGGATCGAATCCCATATCGGGCTCCCGGTGCATGGAGCCTGCTTCTCCCTCTGCCTATGTCTCTGCCTCTCTCTCTCTCTCTCTCTCTCTCTCTGTGACTATCATAAATAAATAAATTTTAAAAAAAATCTTTAAAAAAAATAAAAGAAAAGAAAGAGAGAGAGAGGCAGAGACACAGGCAGAGGGAGAAGCAGGCTCCATGCAGGGAGCCCGACGTGGGACTCGATCCCGGAACTCCAGGATCACGCCCTGGGCCAAAGGCAGGCGCTAAACTGCTGAGCCACCCAGGGATCCCGACTAAACTAAAAATTTTAAATGCAAGAAACCAGATAAATACCCCTTCCACGGATAACAGAGTTGTTTCAGCAACGCATAACAGTGTCCATGAAATTATTTTAGTAACTGTTGCTATTATGTCAAACCATGAATACGGTTACTGTTAAGGATGAGCTTCTCTTTTAAAAGGTATATTATGGGAAGGATTCCCTGGCCCCCAATATTCATATGAGTTTTACCAGTAGTTCATTAAAAAAGTGAAAACAGACCTTTTTTTGAAGATGCAGGTGATTTTTAAAACAATTTTAAACATCAATTTTTAGAGTGAGACATGAGCTATTTGCCTATCAGCTTATCCAGCTGAGACTGTTGTACTCACCAAGCCCCTATCTTACCTTTGTATTCTCCTGTTTGAGTCTTTAGAAGCTCTGCACATTTTGTCTCTTCCTCTTGTATTTCCAGATGAAATCGACATTCTGGGTGAACACTATTCACCTGGTCAAGGTTTAAAAAAATGGAAGGAACTAAAAATTCCACCATAAGAGGAAAGTCAAACAACAGTTCTACAAAACCAAACAAAGCACCTCATCATTCTAAACTACTCCCCAAATAACACTCATTAAAGAAGCAATCACCTTCATATTTCTGGCATGGTTATTTAAAAAAAGTTTACTTTGTAAGGAATTATAATACAAACATAAACCTAATAGAATTTTTTTCTGAGCAGGAAAACAACTTACTAACATAATACATTGTATGTTGTTAGTACTAATTTGGCAGCAACAGAGTTTTTTAATCCAATAACTAACTTTTCAGTGTTTGAGTCCTCCGCTTCATAGCCCTTGATTTAATTACGGCACATACATGTCTACTCATAAGACTCTTCTTAACGACCAGGCACTATCCCCAGACGCCAGCACGCCTCCTCTCAGCACAGCCTCTGCCCTCACTGAACAGAACTATACTAGGATAACTTTATTTCTGGAGCTGCAGGTCACATTTCAAACTTTAGAATCTGGTGCGAAGGAGATTTTCAAAAAGATTAGAGGGGTAAGTAGGAAGATGAAGAGCGAGGAGGGTATTATCATGATTGCTGCCTCTAAATAAGGAGGTGATTTCCCATTGCGATTTGTCATAGGAACTAAAGCTGTGGCACAGAGTGATTAATGTTGCCTATTACTGTGTGCAAAAGACAAAGCTGCACATTTAGTCTTAGAAGAAAATAGTCCCTGATCTCTGTTCTCTTTTTTTATTTCTCCACACCCCCAGTACTCATACTACAGGCTGGAACTGCACACCCCCTCCCGTGTCTGAACAAAATTTTACTTTTATTGTAAGACAGTCATACTCCAGGTATATTATGGCCATCTATATCTAATTATCCTACTATCAAAATGCTCAGTTAGGAATAAATTTTAACCAGGAATAAAGTTTCTCTTTTTTTTAATATTTTATTTATTTATTCATGAGAGACACAGAAAAAGAGACAGAGACACAGGCAGTGAGAGAAGCAAGCTTCCCGCAGGGAACCTGATGCAAAACTCTATCCCAGGACCCTGGGATCACGACCTAAGCCAAAGGCAGATGCTCAATCACTGAGCCACCCAGGTGCCCCAGGAATAAAGTTTCTGAACAGAATTAAAAGAAGTAAGTGCTGATACTTTTGCCACATTTACCGTCAATTTTTAAAAGACACAAAGCTCCTTGCTCCCAGCTCATGAGGACAACCAGCAACTAAGAAAGTCCTGGTTTCAAACAGATCACACTTTTCATATATGAACAAGTCAACGGTCTTTAAATTTCAGAATTGAGAAAATTATGTTGACTTAAAAAAAATGTCACTAAAAAGACACTATGGCTCCTGACATTGCTTTAACATGACAAGCAATAACGTACTTTGGGAGATCTTAGAAAACAAAGCTGCATTGGCCAGGAAATTCCTGGTACTTCTAACAAACTAGCTTTCAAAGAGGGACAGTTACTAACAAGGGTCTTTTTATTTTATTTTATTTTATTTTATTTTATTTTATTTTATTTTATTTTTTTACAAGGGTCTTTTTAAAGCACCATCCCCCCCCCCACCCCAGGACACCTGGTGGACCTTCCTACCAGACAAGGGAGCTGGGCAGGTGCTTACCCCCCAAGTAACGGATACCCTCAGCAGTGACCAGCTGCCCAGAGCTCGGTCCTTGCTACAGGACCTCAGGGGGCTAGGATGCCAGGGGGCCAATGATCTGGTGCCACACGCATAAAACGACCCAGGAGGAAAGCAAGAAACTAGCTGACAGTTTTGTTTTAAAAGGTCTTCAAGGAAGAGGAAGGTCTTCAAAGAAAAGGAGGAATTCTAGAGCAGCAGAGGATCTAGTAGTGCAGTGCTTGAACAAACCCTGCGCGGTCTCATGTGCTCCAGTGCTCTTCAACAATGATGAAAGAATCAGAGCAGAATATTTCAGAAAGGAAACTTTCTTTCACCACACCGGCTCCCTCCCAAACACACTGAAACACTTACAAACCAGTAACAAGCACAAGGGGTGGAAGGGGACCTATTCAACCACAAGGTAACTGAAATTTCCCTCGGGAACGCGAATCTGCGCAGGTGGCCGCAACCCTGTCCCCTGTCTCCCCAGCACGACCTGCCTCACGCCCCGGGAAGGAGCGACCCAGATCAGCTCCTCCTTGACCAGCTTCTCAGAGGGAACCTGATGGAGCTTCTAGCAAATCCAGGGCGGCCGATGGGACCCGCAACGGCATCTTCCCTGCCCGAGTCCCAGAGAGGGAGGGTCCCGGAGCTCCCCAGACGACCCCGTTCCCGAGCTCAGGCCCCGGATCCCGAATCCCGGACCTCGGACCCTGGACCCTGGACATCGGACCCCACACCCCGGACTCCGGGTCCCGGCGGAGGGGGAGGGTCCCCAGGCCGGCCCCGTGCGGGGCTCCTGGACACCGGAGAGGAGCGCACCAGGCGAACCGCGCTCCTCTCGGGGATGGGAGGACAGGGAAGACGAGGCTCGGGTGCGGGGAGGGCAGGGGTCGCAGGACGCACTCACGGGAGCGAGCAGCCAGCCGCAGCAGGTCAGCAGCGCGGGCGGCAGCAGCGCGGGCGCCCTCATCCCGGCTCCGGCGACATGGGCCGAGCCACGGGCGCGCACCGCGGCTCGGGCCCCGCGCCCCCAGCTCCCGCAGTCCGAGCGCCGCGCACCCCGCAGCTGCCACGGGGCTGCCGGAGCGCGTGGGCCGCCCTGGGTCCCCGCCCCCCCCCCCAGCCCGCCCGCCCGGCGGCATCCCGCGCCCCGCAGCTCCGCCCCCCGCGCCCGGGCCCCGCCCCGCGCCCCCTTGGCCCCGCGGCCCCCAGGTCCCCCCTGCTCGTCTCCGCGGCGCTGCCCCCTCCTGTGCTCGCAGCCCCGCGCCCCCCCCTCGCTCGCCGCCGGCCCCCCTTCCCCTCCGCCCGCGGGAGGAGCGGCTCCGGGAGGAACACAGGTGGACGAAGGGCTGGCCCTGGACAGGTCAGGGGACAGCCGCCGGGAGTGACACCCCTCGGGGACAGGGAAGCGGGGTTCTGGGCGCGACCCGCAGTGGCTTTGCGCCCACTCCTGCTCTCCTAGTTAAGTAACGAGCTAAAGACGCCCAAGAAAATATCAGGAGACCCGGTGTGTGGGGGGTGCTGCCTCCGAAGCCGCTGGGGCCCAGAGGGGGTTGGGGTGCTGCCTCCGAAGCCGCTGGGGTCGATGTGGGGGGAGGGGCTGTTGCCTGCGAAGCCGCTGGGGTCGGTGCGGCAACCGCAAATTAAGAAGTAAATTAGGGCGCACTCGGGGGCGGGCCCCTCCCGGTGGTGGCAGGTCCCCCTTAGTCACACCTGGAAGCCCTTCTCTCCTCAGGCTGCCTCCCGAGGGCCTGAGATGGAAACGGGCGTTTCCAGAAGCTTCCTATCGACTTTTAACAGCCCAAAGCGTTGTTTTAGCGTTCAAGCTAATTGCTATCCATTCAATGGAAAAGCACCTAGAAATGAAAAATGAGATCCCACCTCACACCAGTGAGAATGGGGAACATTAACAAGGCAGGAAACCACAAATGTTGGAGAGGATGCAGAGAAAGGGGAACCCTCTTGCACTGTTGGTGGGAATGTGAACTGGTGCAGCCACTCTGGAAAACTGTGTGGAGGTTCCTCAAAGAGTTACAAATAGACCTGCCCTATGACCCAGCAATTGCACTGCTGGGGATTTACCCCAAAGATTCAGATGCAATGAAACGCCGGGACACCTGCACCCCGATGTTTCTAGCAGAAATGTCCACAATAGCCAAACTGTGGAAGGAGCCTCGGTGCCCATCGAAAGATGAATGGATAAAGAAGATGTGGTTTATGTATACAATGGAATATTACTCAGCCATTAGAAACGACAAATACCCACCATTTGCTTCGACGTGGACGGAACTGGAGGGTATTCTGCTGAGTGAAGTAAGTCAATCGGAGAAGGACAAACAGTGTATGTTCTCATTCATTTGGGGAATATAAATAATAGTGAAAGGGAATAGAGGGGAAGGGAGAAGAAATGGGTAGGAAATATCAGAAAGGGAGACAGAACATGAGAGACTCCTAACTCTGGGAAACGAACTAGGGGTGGTGGAAGGGGAGGTGGGTGGGGGGGTGGGGGTGATTGGGTGGCGGGCACTGATGTGGGCACTTGACGGGATGAGCACTGGGTGTTATTCTGTATATTGGCAAATTGAACACCAATAAAAAAATAAATTTATTATTAAAGAAATGAAAAACTAAACAGGTAACTTTTGTTGTGATTTTAACTTTGCGTGAAAATAACGCAAACTTACACAAAAGTTATCATAAGAAGAGTACAGAGAACACCCCTTCGCCCTTTACTTAGGTTCAGCTATGGAAGTTTTACCTTATTGGCCTCTTATGGTCTGTGCCCTCTCCCACCCCCTCACCTGCCCCCCATGCATCCAGTAACATCTCTCAGCTGTCTGTCTGTCATCTGTCTGGTGGGGAGCAGTATCAGAGGCCATTTCCGGGAGCTCTAGGTGTGCACATTGGGGTCCAGAAGCTTAGTGACCCTGCGTCCCAATCTGACAAGGATTTCTTTTACTCACTATTCAACCTGGGACAAATCGATGGACTTCTCTGGGCTGTACTCCGTTTGTAAATGAGAACGATGACACCTGCCACCCACCTCAGAGGGTGCCTGTAAGAATCAAGACTGTGAATGCACACATACGTGTTTTGTTGTGGAGGGCCCAACCCTAAACATTACTACACTGGGTTCAGGGCCAGACATAAGGTGTCTTCCCGAGTAGGAGTTCACACGATGTGAAGTAAGCGTTAACAGTCGTGAGATGCAGGCTTCGGGGAGAAAGGAGCTGGTTTCCTCTGGGAGGCACTTGGAGGACTAGATGTCTCAATGTGACAGGTTAAGAATGGTTGCGAGAGATCAAGGTGGACAGTGGAAACATCTTACAAGCCCCAAGGAGCAACGAATGTGCTGAGAGGATTGGAGGAATCAAGGAGGATGGCAGATTTGGGAGGCTTGAGAACCCGAAAGATCATCTTGACCCAATGGAGAATAAAACCAGTGTTTTATGAGAGTCAGAATTAGATACCCTGCAGATGGAATGCACAGGAAAACGTTCTCGAATCTTGACTGTTCTTACCTTGTCCTGAATCCCTACTGATGTTGGGATGGGGGGTACTGTCTGTTTTGGATAAAAGCCCGGTCTCCCAGGAATGTTCTTCCTCTTCTTCCAAGGTGCCTGTGTGTTCTCTGGGCTGGGCGACGGTTTCCTCTGTGGGCACCTGATATGTTGGACCTGTAGCCTTGTCTCTGGGCCTCTGGCACTGACCTTGGTGAGGTGTGGCAATCCCTATCGTGCTGTGCGGACACCTTGCAGAAGCCTTGGTCCCTGCCCCAGGCTCTGGTCACAAGGGTCCCACCTCTGCCTCCTGCTCCCGCAGGCCTCCTCCAACCACACCTGCCTCAGCACCCACACCTGCCTGTATTCTGAGGCACTGGGAGGGCTGGGAACTGTGGGACACTTGCCAGCTGCCCTCCCCGCCTCCTGCCTGGACACCCCTTCTGCCAGCACCCTCTTGTCCACACCGCACACGCTTCCTGGCACTGTTTTTGCTGGGACCTTCCCTGGGTTTTCCTGGCTCAACTCTGAGTGGAGAGAACCAAATCTCCCACGGTGGAAGCCGAGCAGATGAGAAGCTCGGAAACCTACCGATTCAGTGAAGGGAAGCCTTAGAGCTTTGTGGTTAGAAAAGAGGGAAATCGCTCAAAACTAAATACTCCTCCCAGGCTGCGGAGTAGAATTCCTCATGTGTGTGGCCTACTTCTCAAGGTGATTATAGAGATAAAAATCAAATATGAGCCATGCAGAGCCTTCGCGAACATTTTAAAAAGTATGTGGATGTGAAGTGTTGCCTTAGGGATGCACCCCCTCAGCCCCGCAGTGGCTCGGGCTTCCTAAGTAGATGATACGACGCAGGCTCTGGCCCCAGAGTGGGTCAGTGGCATCTGGGCTGCTTGTCTGGCCCTGCCATTCCCAGCCCTTCCTGTTTTCAACCATAACCAACCTACCCAATGAGGTGGATTCATTTGATAGACTCCTCTCATGCCTGTGGTTTTGTGAGACTCTGGCAGTCCTGGGTCTTTTCTGGGGAGGATCTCTTTTCCAGACAGCAGTGCCGTGGGTCAGCAAAACTCTCAGCTGCTTAATTTAAAAGGTCTCACCGCCACCTTCCTCTGCTCCTGTCCCAGCCCCATCCTGCACCTGGCCCTGAACCTGCAATCGGGAGCTGTGCACAGCGTGGTGGGGTGGCAGCCTTCTCTTCCCACCTCCACACCCCTTCACCACTGCAGCTTGGGCATCCTCCAGGTCAGAGGGGGGCCACAAAGAGTCAAAGAGCCCTACTTACTGGCAGAGCATGGGTTGCTTTGGTGACATCCCCTGCTCCTCTAGTCCTGGAGACTCTTCCGCTGTAGTTGGATGCCTCTCAGGAGCCATAGGTTTCCCTTCTACTGGGATTATCTTTCCTCTCCAGACTGTCCTCCTGAAAGATAGATTTTGAAGATGGTCCATGGGAGTCAACAGCTGGCTGATGGGACTAAAAACGCACCTTTTGTTCCTTTTGTTTTGCCAAATGGAGGCAGCCAGCCAGATGCAGCCTCACCCTCAGACTTCCCAGGCATCAGAGTCACTCCTGCTTCCTTTAGAGGACAATCTCCCCAAAGGGATCCTGAAGTGCTTCCCTTGGCTGGGGCAGCAGGGAGCATGCCCTAGCTCCCTGGTGGAGAAGAGCAGCTCATCTTGGAGGAGACCCTTCAGGGGTCACTCCCTTGGCAAACCCTCTGTCGATGGTCTAGCACCTCACTTTGAAATGTGGGGTACTTGATCGTACCTTTTTGGCCTTTGGGTTTAAACACTGACATCACTGGCTGAGTCACCTTTGAGATTCTCTTCTATAGCTGTCAGCTGAGCCCGCCTAGAGGCCTTCAGAAGCATCTGGACAGGGGCCAGTTGCTTGGGAACCTCCAGAGTAAAGAAAGCCCAGTGCGGGTGTGTAAGATGCACCTGGAAAGGCGTGATTTTGTAAATAGAGCATATTCTCTCAAGCAGTTAGATGCTCATAGTGAAACTGAGTGGGAAGGACAGAGTTCCCATATCTCCTTCACCCTTGCACCCAGTGTTCCTTTTTTTCTTTAAAATTATTTTTATTAAATCATAAATGTACAACAGCATCTTAATGCTATGCATGCACCTTCATTTTCTAAAGGAAAAATGTTATGTTGTCTTATGTCATGATCCTGGCTAATACGTTTTCAAAACTTTGAGAAAAGTCTTTAAAAAGTTTTCATATATCACCTGAAACTTACGAATTTAACATTATTAAAGAAGAAATGCTTCTATACTTTTACAAAGAAACAACCACTAAAGAGCTAAGAAATTATCTCACGGGCATTTTTTTTTTTTAAATAATTATTCCACTGCAGTAAGGTAACTTCATGAATCCAGTCCATTCACGAAATGGCTCTCTGAGTCTGCTCTAATGTCACCTGCCATGTCACTGCTTATTTATGCAGGACTGAGATAAGAATTTCCTAGGGTCGCCTGGGTGGCTCAGTCAGTTAAGCATCTGACTTGGTTTTGGCTCAGGTC